CGGGCAAATGTAATACTGGTCCCAGAGAACGTTTTTCCGCCTTCTATTCAATTACCTTGGCCTTGCATATTTTCGACCATTGAGGAGAGTAAAAATACATGTAGGGCAAATAGGGGGTGAATGTTCTCCTTTCCTACCTTAGCACCAACCTAAACTGTGGCCTTTATCTTAACCCCCACCTTCCGCTACGCTCTAACCTTACAGTAAACACTAAATTAAACCTTAACCATAAATGTAAGCCTGACCCCAACCCTTACACTAAACTTAACCCCGATTTCCTGGAATTTAGCAAAGAGTAACATGCATTGTGTGTGGTTCTTATTCTCATATCTTCTTAAGAAAGCATACAAGTAATCCTTACCGGTTTCGCTACTAACAACCCCTTAAAAACTACAGATGAATCAAACTAAGACTATTTTTCCCCTAAGGATTTATCCATCTTAATCCGCGCTTATCCTCCTTCACTAGGGGTCTGCACAAACTCGAAGGATAAAGTCCGTCAACATGTCCATAATTAATCTTCACCATCTCATTATTCTTGGTGTCTTTCGTTCGGAGCGTGGTCAGTTGTAATATTTTTGAACGCCAATAGCAGTGAGTTTCTTCTGCTGTTGACCTACAGTAAATAGGATGCTGTTGAGTCAGGAAATACTCACCTAAATTCCGAAATGTGATTTTTGTTATAAAGACTTACTAATATGGGGCTCCAATAAGGGTTATAATGTGGCAAAATACCAAGATCTTTCAGTTACGGTAGAAGGAGGGATTTTGATTGCGCTTCTTTTTGTCCACATACATGACTCATGCTGACCAAGTACTATGCGTTCGTCCATGGATTTTCGATATCCCTAAAAATCCAAGCTTGTTCCTCATAGAAAGTATGCACATCAGTCTCATTTCCTATATGCATTTTCGACTCGAAAAGGCTGTGTATTCCAAATGGAAACGAAACGTAAAAGATGATTCGACGAACATATGCGCGCTTTCGATAATCTTGTCCATTGTCTTGTACTGTTGAACCCAATATGCCACGGCACTTGTGTTTAGGGTTTCAAAACCGAAATTTGTATGCCGTACGTCGATGGCATTCACACATTCTTACGGAGAGATGGATGGATGCTGCATGGAGACTATACTGTCTTATTCTTGAAGGGCCAGTGACGCGAGACTTGCATGAGCTGTTGAATTCAATTTACCCTGACATTGTGTTCTTAACAGCGAAGTGTGATAATCACTTGCTAGCTGTTTCGTCCCTTGACTTCTCCTACGGGAAGGCAAAAACCAGTGATCACAACTGTTAAGGTGGCACGGTACTATTAAGCAAAAATAGTAAAGGATGAATTGTGTACAGACCTCAACAATGGGCACACCAAGTCAAGAGCGAAGGAAGTCTATACAGGGGAACGACACAAGTTCAAGAATAACGCCACGCAGGACGAAACTAGTCTTGAGAAACCTTGTGTGTGTTAGTGGGAGGGAGGGGTGGCTCCGCTTTTATATGATTCACGTAGCATCAGGATTGGTGTGAAACACCAGCACGAACGGTTGAGGGGGTCATGAACGGAGGCCATATGAAAGCGTCAGCGACGGGGGGTCCTGGAGGATTGGGTCTCGGGGTCGCCGCGGCAGCTGGGTCAAGAAGGAGGAACGGACAACTGGCATGTCACGTCGCAGTGATCTCCATGGCCAAGATGATAATGTGAAATGTGAAAATGGAAAGGAGGGGCCAAGGGGGGAGGGAGTATTCAGTTATGTGCAGTCAGTCAGTCATGGGCGGCCAGCATTCCAG